CAATATAAGATTTAATTCATAACAGAGGCAAAATAAGACAATATTTATCTTATTAGTACGGCCCGTAAGCTGTATTGAATTGAAACTTTATTTTAATTACACATTTTACAATTATAATTAGAAACAATCTCAGAATCCGGATTCAGGTCAGAATCTAGGGAGGGGCGAATGTTTGTATTTAAAAAAATAACATGTTTTTATAATTTTTAATTAAAATGGTGCAATTAAGTATACAAATTAACTAACGAGATTTAATCTCACTCACTGTATGTAACGTCACCCTAAGCAGTTGTAAGTTCTTTTTTAAAGTCACACAGTGGGCGACTTTAAACCAACATGGAAAGATTGAGTTCCCGTTTTATCATTTAATATTAACTTTTATATTTCAATTTTTTTAAATTTGTTGAGCAACAAATCTAAACAAACGTGAGCTAAACCTTTCAAGTTTAATGTAAACTTTAAACATCGCAAACTAAACATTTAATTACAACTTAAGTGTTGTTAATATGGAAATCTCTATGAAAAATTTCTAAAATAAAAATAAAAACTGATAATGAAAAAAATTACTAAAAACTTAAAAAATATATTAAAATAATCAAATTATCAAATGGAAACTTAGTAATAAGAAAACATGGTCAGTCATTAATTGCACAATAAGAAAAAAAGAAAAAAAAATGTTCACCTTCTTTATCTAAAAGAATTAATGTTGACAACATGTATATATTATATTAAAATTAAATGTTGTTCTAAGTACTAACAATAAAGAATTTTTATCTCTCTCTGGAACAGTTTAGGAAAGAATCTGAGTCTCTTATTACAAAAAGACTTTGATTTAAAATACCTCTTTTAAAATAACAAAATCAATAATATAAGTTATCTAAAAAATGCTTATTGGCACCACTTTTTGTTGCAATTTTATTAAAATTTAATTAAATTTTTTGTTGAAAAGTTACTATACAATTGAGATGCTGTTAATCTTTAATATATTGCGTTTTATTTCAACACGTGTAAATAAACGTGTTTAAAATTCTTACTCGGCTACTTTTTTCCCCGTATAAAAAACTGACAATATTTCAATGTAAATGGGGCTCGGTGATAAAGCAGTTTATGTCTTCTGCTTGCTCCAGCTCATTTTGTTTATTACCAAGATTTATTTTATTATAAATATTAATATATGGCAAATCTTTTTAAAAAAAATCGTTTTTAAAAGCGTTAGATTCATTGGATTAAAGAATTCTCAAAGCTAAACAAAATAATACTTAAAACTAATTATTAAAATGGAGATTTAAATGTCTTAAGAGGAGTTTCTCAAAGTTTGATACTTGATTCCAATGTCGTGGCTAGTTGATCGGAGCCCTCCCTCCCCCCTCCAAAAAAACCTGTCATCAATACCTCAATTTCTTAAAATATTTTTTTATTAGGTATTTCGAAAAAAAGAGCCTTTATATTTCCAAAAGGGCTGCTAAATTTGCGAATGAACTATGCTTGGCCCATTTCTGTTATTAATTTGTATATATAACTTTCTAATGCGTTATTAAAACTAAAAGCAGTTATATTGATAATACAAATCTATTTCTAACTGACAATTATATCAAGAAATTATATGCAAATATGATTATCAAATATTGTTGTTTAATATGTGTTGTTATTTTTTTTATTTTTTGATGCTTAGATTTTTGTTTTGTGTTCTGAAGTTTAATATTTAAAAAAAAAAAATAATAATTTATGGTTTTTCAATAAACAAAAATTAGATATTTCCGTGTTTTTAGAAGAATATGTTTAAGTCTTAGACCATTAAAACTGATAGACACGGCGTTTTCATAATTCTTTGAAGCCAAAATTTTAATAACTAGTAATAAGATTTTATTTAAATTTTTTAGAAAAATTCTTTTCATTAGAAATATATAGAATATATTTTATTGGGATATATTCTTATAAAGACTAAATATAGTGATTACTATGTCAATTCTTTAAAACTATTTATTAACAACTATTGTAATAAATACAAACTCTTATCCGCAAAATAATATATCTTTACCAGCTTTACTTCTTTTTGTGCAATGATATATACACCCTAATTAAGGTTAATTAAAAAATATAAGATAAATGCAAAAGCAATCTCGACCTAAAAATGATTTTTTTGCCACAGACTGACGTCACTAAGCGAAACTTTTCTTGGCTTCACGTTTAGATTAGTATTATATAGCTAAGGCCGTGTCTATCAGTTTTAATGGTCTAAGGTTTAAGTTAATGGCTTCTTGTTGTTTTTTTAATAATAGATATTATTTATTACGTTACCAATTTTACGTTTGTTAATTTTATATAGTTAACGGAATTGCTTATTTTTAAATTTAACTTTATATTTACTGTACTTATTAAGGAGCTTGGCGATAAAATACATTAGTCTTCTTCTCGCCCCTGCCATCTATATATCTTGTTAGTAACATACGATTGTATATAATAACACGGCAAAAAAAAAAAAAAACTGGTCATTTATAGGGATAACAAACTCTTACTTTAACGCTCAGTAAATAAACTTTTCACTGTTTCTTTAAAAACGCAAGAAAAAAATCTTTTACAGATCTTAAATGATAAAATAATTTTAAAAAAAAGCTATTTTTTGTGAAAATTTATCCTGGTTTCTTCAAATAAAATATATCTAATCAAATATTAAATTAGTATATGCGTATACTAGCTTTAAGAAATCAATACATAGTCTCAAACTAACATGCATTGGTTTAATCCGTTCCTTCATCAGCTACCCAAACATCTTAAACAGCCATCAAAACTTTAAAATGTTTTTAAATTGAAAAAATATGCTTGCATACTCATTTAAAGATAATCGTAAACACACTACTTAATGTAAACACACTAATATAAACACATTATAACTTTAATGTAAACACACTATAACCTCAATGTAAACACACTATAACCTTAATGTAAACACACTATAACCTTAATGTAAACACACTACTTAATGTAAACACACTACTTAATATAAACACACGACTTAATGTAAACACACTACTTAATGTAAACATACTGTAATCTTAATGTAATAACACTATAACCTTCATGTAATCATATTATAACCTAAATGTAAACACACTATAACCTTAATGGAAGATATAAATTTAACTTATATGTATTTATGCATCTCTTTTCATAAAATTTTAATAGCAAATTTGAATTAAACATAAAAGATTACTACCAAATTATTATATGTAACATATGTAAACCAAATAAAATTTAATTAACTTACAAAATTGTATCTATACATGGTATATAGTAATCAAAACGAATAAAATGTTTTGTTAAAGTTGTTGTTATAACTTTTATAACATGATTATATATATAACTAAAAATAAAATTTAAAAAGTTGAGAAACATTAGTATCTAAAGGTACTCTGAAGTTTTTATAAATCTTTTTTCCGTTTTTTTGTTTGTTTGTTTGGTTTGCTTATAAGCACCATAAATATTAATAACATTTTTACTATTATTTTTTTAAATATAGTTACTTAATGAAAACTTTATGTTATTTTGAATGTTTGGTGGTACTTTTAAACAGATAACCTGTACAAAACTCTCACGACTATTTTTTTGATTAACATCTCTACCCATTGAATTTTTTTAATTTTGTTTATTTGAAACTATTGAATGTTTATGTTTTTACAAAAGGACATATTGACGTAAAAGTGATTGGCCTGGTAGTCTAGATTTTTGCAAGTTTTGCAAACTTACTTTTAAAATAACTTATTTTACATTATTTAAATATGTTGTTTGAAAATATAGGTACGTTCCATGTGTCTTTTAAGTTTAGGTTCTTACTTATTTCATTGTAACAATAAATACCAATATTATAAATATAAATAAAACAACTGCTATGATGCAAAAATTATACTTTAACATTATTTATTCGTTTATTCGGTAAAATTTTGAAAACAACGTTCCGCAAAGTGAGAAGTATATGTACAAATAATAGTTTTTCTGATGTTCTCCGAAGACTGCATAAATCATTCCGAAGTCAATAAAGAATTTCTCTTAAATAAATAAAGGCTTTCTTCGAAGCCAAGTGATCCTCTGAAGTAAAAAATGAAAAAAAAAAAAAAAAATGAAAGAAAGAAAATATTTCTGTTATAGGTCTAAAAAACGATGCAGAAATTTAGTTTAATATGATAAAAGAAATAATAATGATAAAAAGATAAATACTCGTGCGAAGTGATAATAAATAAACAATTATTCTAATGTAATTTTACTAGCCTATTTATTTCTCAGTCATAAAGAACTTTTCCGAAACTTTCCTAACTCAATACTTTTTATAAAATTGGTTTCCGTAATCAGTTTTTATTGCGGCACTTTTTTTACTCAAAATAAAAAGGTTTCTTTACTATTATTATTTTTCGACTGGCGTTTTTTGTTTAAGTTAACTGACTTTACTTGTTAATCTAATTTTATAGTTTGTCTGTAAAACATAAAAAAAATTTAAAAATTTTGGTTAAAAACAACTACATTAAAACAAATTATTTTTAAAGACCATCACTTTACTATTACATAGTTACATGTTGCTAACGGCAGCAGTTATACATAATAAAGAAGTGAAAAGGCAAGAAGCAATCCTGTACCTAAATTGTGTATAAAATGTTTGATTTAAATAACGTAATAAAACGATAAATTTTCAGCATAGACATGCATGATTTAGTTCCTAGTTAATATTGTGATTTGACTTGATTTCTTTTTCTTTTTTCTTTTTTTAAAATTGAGTATTTCAACATAATTTCTCAGCCGCGTATGCTGTTGCTAAAGACGTTATTCAAAAAGCACAAATTAATAGCGTAGAAAACAAAAGACTTATACTTATTTATATTTACCTTGGGCAGAAAGAAATTCGGTCTATTAAATTCATTTTTGCAAAAAAAAAAAAAAAATTAAAAAAAAAAAAAAAGAAATAGTATTTAAAAAAAAAAATAAAAATATTTAATATAACAACGAAAAGATATTTTGATTCTGTGATCCGAATGACCAGCAAACGAAACTTGTTTCTTGGGCCAAATATAAATAAAGAGTTGTGTTCTTTCTTCTTTTTTCTTTTTTGAAGTTCAACTTCAGTGGTTATCATTTTGCATGCATTTAATTTTTTTTTGGTAGGCTAAACAACTGACTTTTTATAACGATTGACTGTTCTATATAAAAACTTCCAGTTTGTTATTTATGCACTCAATCCATTCAATATTCTATACCTTCGTGACTATTAAAATCAAAAACAGCTTTTACTGTAAAAGTTTAAAAATGCCACACATTTTCGTTTCAATTGTTTCTGCTTTGTATTTTGAAAATAAAGCTAACGTTACTGATCTTCCACAAATATCTGATTCATTGCTGAAATATACACATTCATTTATTATACAGCCATCTGCTTTTCATTGATAAAAATAAATGTTTTTTACAAAACAATTACTGCTGATTAAGTGGTACAAAAAGGTAACAGAAATTGAAAAAATCAATAAAAATCAAGTTTATGAATAGGATCCTCAGAGTAGAATAATTTAAAAATGTTCTAAGCTGATTTTTTTTTTTTTTTTAATGAAAGGCGGGGAGGGGGTTATTTAAAATCAAAAACTAAAAGTACCTAACAAATTAAAAAATCTGAAACAAATCCAGCCAGTAAAATTGTATCGATCAAAGTTTAATAAAATTTTGATCATATAAGAAGAATTTAAGTATTTTTAAATAAAAAACAAAGTTTACAACTAAAGGTATAACAACAATATAATATGAATTAGAGAGAACTTTTATTTTGATGTTTCAACCACTTTTTCTTTTGTTTTAACTCTAAAGATTTTTTTTCTTATTATAAAGTTTAAATTTTTTTTGTTATCCCGATAATCAGATGAAAATAGGTTTTTTAAGTTGATAAAAGTCTTGAGAAGCAAACCATATTGGCGCTACATTTGGTATCTAAGTGAATTTTTAAATTGATAAATATAGAACGTATGAAAAATGTAACGAAAAAAATGCATTCGTTTCAATTTTGTATAAGCTTGAAGTTTAAGTTAAGATCGGCATTAATTGGGGTAAAAGATTTATCTAAAAAAAAAATAATTTAGATAAATACCTAAAAATATCATAAAGATAAATGATTAATACAACAGAGAATGATAATTAAAGTATTATGAAGTAAACAAAAATGAAAAAAATATATACAAATAATAGCAAATGGATAAAATAAAGCGACTATTGTTTGAAAAGTGACAACAAAATCAAAAATAGAAACAAATTAAAAAATAGTTACTAAATAAAAATTAATAACAAAATATAAAAATAATAATGAAATAAAAAATAATAACAAAATAAAAAAATGTAATAACAAAATAAAAATTAAAACAAAAACAACAAAAAAAAACAACAAAAAAAAATCAAAAATATTAACCAAATAAAATATAATAACAAAAAAAAAATAAAAAACAATCAAATAAAAAATAACAACCAAATAAAAAATAACAACAAAATAAAAAATAACACAGAGCCGACGGGGGTGGAAGTTGCACAATCGCTAATTTCTAAAAAAGGTCCTCAAGTCTAGAAATTTTTTTTCTTTTTCTTAACAAATCTTAACAAACGTGGCGCGTGATCCTTAGCCTCCTCTCCCTCCCCCCTCACCCCACCCCACTTCTGCTTTGCAACAAAATAAAAAAATAAAAATAAATAAACAAAAAAAAAAAAAAAAAAAAAAAATAGTAAAATATGTTGCGAAGTCGATCGTGTTTTCGTTGTTTTAACTTTTAAATACCAGTATTATAAGAGTGACACCCTTTACGCACCTAACGCGCAAAGGATATTTAAAAAGGTATTGTTTGATAAATCAATAAAATAAATCAATAAAAGGCATGTTCGATAAATTTATTATACAACATCAAAAGTTTATATTCTACAAATTTGGTTTAGATAAATTAATTATTAATTACTTTGATAATAAAAATATTTCAAAAGATTAACAGATATTAGAAGACAATTAGAGATAAACAAGTTTTTGAAACTTACTTTTTGACTACTTTTTTTTTTAAAGTTCTTATAAAAAAAGGTAATCTTTTTAAATAAAATATTGAAAACTTCGTTTGAAACTAAGCATCTGTATTTATTTTTCCTATTAGTAACAAGTAATAGCAAGTTTGAATTAAAAAACTACAGGTGTATTTGTACCAAATGTAGCAGAACTTTGCAGACCATACGCGCTGTATATGGCAAAATTTTCTTAAGAAATAAATGCCAATTAAACAATGAAAATAGTCATTATAGTAAAAAAACCTCATTACTTGTAAATAGTCTACACTACTTGTAAATAATCCACGCTACTTGGAAATAATAAACGCTACTTGTAAATAATCAACGTTACTTGTAAATAATCTACACTACTTGTAAATAATCAACGCTACTTGTAAATAATCCATGCTGCATGTAAATAAACCTCGCTACTTGTAAATAATCTATGCTAATTGCAAAGTTCCAAAACAATCCCACACATACAGTTTTAAAACATAACAAAATATTATACCAACAACAAAAAATTACTATGTTTTAGCCTTCTTTTCCAATAGGAAACTAAGATAAACTAAGATAAATATAATACCCACCCTTTTCCTTCAATTTGAAAATTTCAATACTGAAATTCCTAAAAATTATAAATTAAGTGAACTTAATCCACAATTATCAACGTAAACAATTTGTTTACGCCGATGAAAAATATACATCAAATTTGTTAAATACTACATGTGGAGTTCCTCAAGAATCCATATTAGAACCTCTGCTTTTCCTTATTTATATTAATTATCTATACAAAGCCTCGGCTTTAATAACAATTATTTTTGCTGATGATACTAATTTATTTATGCAATACAAACGCATTCCTACTTTATTTCATCGCGTGAACAAAAAATAATCAAAATATCTGACTGGTTTTACATACAAAATATCTGACTAAACATCTGACAAAATATCTATCTACATACAAAATATCTGACTGGTTGACTAAAAAGTTATCTCTTAACATTGATAAAACTAAATGGATTCTTTTCCATTTTTTTATCAAAAAACATAAACTGCCAATTAACACGCCTCAACTTGTTATTGACAATATACAAATTAAAAAAGTATCAGAATTAACTTTTTAGGTGTTTGTATAGATGAAAATCTTACTTGGAAAAATCGCATTAAAAACTTATCAAGTAAAATTTCAAAAAGTATAGGAATATTGTACAAAGCAAGAAACGTTCTAAATAACCAAAAGTACAATTATATCGCTCGTTTATTCATTGTCATATAAACTATGCAAACATTGCTTGAGGTAATACAAATAAAAGTAAACTTAAACCTCTTAATGTCAGCAGAAGCATATAGCACGTCTTATGTATTTTAAAGACCGTTACTCAGTGGACACGGACGTAAAAAAGACCTCTTCTAAACATTTTATACACGTTTTGGACGTCTTTTGAACGTTCAAAAGACATCTTTTTTTGGTCCGGTGCCCACTGGGTATACTCATGCCAAGGTATACTCATGCCCACTCATATATTCATGCCCACTGGGTATACTCATGCCCACTGATGTATACTCATGCCCACTGGGTATACTCATGCCTCTATTATTTAAAATGAAAGTTTTTAATATATATGAGCCAAATACTTTTAATATTCTTTGTTTTATTTAAATAAAAACCCTTTCATTCCCAATTTCTTTCAATAATTTGTATTCATCAAAAGATAAAAAATAAGCACATTTTACACAATGACAATTTTATTAAGCAGCCCATTTTTCAAACATGTATTGATTTTTGCGGACCATTTTTATGGAATAAAATAGTTTTAAAAAATTTTACTGATAATTTTATTTATTAAAGTAACTAAAGTAACTTTTTTTTTTTTTAAATGGAAGTTTAAAGCTCATTTTTACATAAGACAATTTAATAAAATACTTCTAATTTTTTTAGAGATCCTCCTTTTTTTTTTTTTTTTTTTTTTAAACATGTTTATTTTACAACTACAAAGTATTTACGAGTAATCTAATCACAACTTGGGGGTAAAGATAAACAAATATAAATATCATAAACATAAAGTTCGAAATATACGAAGTAAATAAAAATACAGTTGCATACAACTCCGAGACATGATTAAAATAAATACCAAATACAACAATATAATAACGTAAAAATAATCCGAGAAATGTATCTCTATATTCATCCAATTAAAATAAAAAATACAATAAATAAAAATAAATCTGCTAATTTTTTGGAGGAGTGTTAAGATGTTTCACTATAAGTTTATTCACCACATTTCAAAATAATATTTGTGTATAAGTATGATAAAAACAAAAATTGTGTAAGATTGATAAGAAGAATTACTTGTTAATAGTTATAGGAAGCTTGCAAAAGACTGAAGTTAGTCTTGTCATAGAGTACCTTTTTCTAGACGTGTAATACACATAAAAAATCAGTTGCATACGTGGTATATATGTATGTGTTACATATATATACCTTGTTATTAATATTATTATTATTTTTTTATCAATTTGTATTAAAAGTTAAGTTACATTTATATAAATATTTTTTATTTAAATTTAAACAAATTCCTTGAAGTTGTTTAATTTGATTATTGTAGGTTTTAGCTTTATTTTCAAAGAGTGTTCTTGTTTAAGTTTAATAATGATTTGTTTCTAGAAACTAATTTGTTAAATAAATAGGGACCTTGATATGTAACTGAGAATTTTGAGAGTCTTGTTGTTTCAAACGGTATCTTAAAGTTGCGTGTTGCTCTTGTATTGTTTCTTGTATGTATAGTGTTTTTAAAAAAGTGTGCTGTAAAATGTTCTGGAACCAGATTTAGTTTATATTTAAACATGAAAAGTATATTTTGAGAAATATTTATTTGAAATATATTTAGTGCATTCATTTGTTCCAGTAAGGGTTGAGCATGAGTAAATTTGTTTTTGTCGTCTACTAGTCTTGAAGTGTGTTTTTGACGTAAGTAAAGTGGTTCTAATTTAGATTTATAGGTACTGCCCCATGCTATATTGGCATAAATAAGATATGTATGAATGAAAAGTAAACAAGTTTTAGACTTTTTTGTGACAAGACGTCTTCGATTGTCTTTGATGAGTAAAATAAGTTTGTATTGTCGGCAAACATAGTTTTAAAGATATTAGAGGCATTTGGAATATTGTTTATATAAATAAGAAACAAAAGTTTTTTACCCTCTATTCAAACTTGAATTTACAAAATTCATATATTTACCATTAACAACTGTTATCTACATATCTAATATATATATATATATATATATATATATATATATATATATATATATATATATATATATATATATATATATATTATATTATATTATATATATATATATATATATATATATATATATATATATATATATATATATATATATATATATATATATATATATATATATATATATATATATATATATATATATATATATATATATATATATATATATATATATATATATATATATATATATATATATATATGAAGGTGGCTGGGCAATACTTTGCATTGTCGGATTTTCTATTGGGCTTTTCAGGCCAAAGTCTGGGGCCTCGTATACAAGAGAGCCTAGCATATATTAGAGAAAAAAATTTTGTAACCTGTAATCATAAACAACAAATATCTAACTTGTTTAACAAACAACAATTCATATTTAAAAAATAAAAAAGTTTATCAATTGTTAACTGGTAATTATGAAAGGAAACAGATTAATATAAAAATTTTTTGGCTCTATCTTATGTATAATAGAGAAGGTAACTATATATAACTATATAAATGACGTTAGCATATGGCAAACGTCTTTCTTCAACAGAAATAAAACTTAAATAAGTGAATACCATGGTGGCCAGCATCCAATCACTGAAGACGTTTGTCCATTTAAAGTGTGAATGTTTTCAACTACATGAAAAAAAAAAATAGGAACAGATCAAGTTAGCTCACAGAAATATTTTAAAGCTTTTTGAGAATTCAAAATAACTCTTTTAGACTGCGGACATGAACTTTCTGTTCAGTTGTCACCTTCCCAAAATTTTGGAGTTGAAAGCTTCATTGTAGTTATTTATCGCTATGCATCCGCTCTTGATCGGAGAATGTGTGCTTGGGATCTCTCTTCGGTTTCTAAATTAGTAAAACTTGGTTTTGGGACTATCAAGCGTAGCGGAGAGAAACATGAATACAAGTTGTTCATTCAAAAACAATTTGAATTCCTCTATAAAAATGTTTTTATGCACTTTAAGCAGTTGTGTATTTTTATTCATAGGAAATGTGTGCAGATCAATTTCCCTAACTTTGATATTGCTCTTCGTATTTACCTATTGCAAATAATAACAAACTTCTTGACGGAAAGATTGTTTTGTAATATGAAATTGACTAAAAATAGGCTGTGTACCTCAGTGCTTCAAGAACGATTTACTACCTGACTCATGTATTGCATTAATTATTGAAAGAGACATTAAGAGAGAAATGAGTTTGGAAAATATTACTTATGAGTTTCCTTATAGAAAAGCTAAGAAAGAGAAATTTATGCTTTTTTCGTGGTACAATAAAAGTGACACTTTTCAAATCTGACAAACTGACACTACTCCTATAGAAAGTGTAACAGTATTATTAAGTGCACATTGTACTATTATTAAAGTGTAACAGTATTGTTAAATGCACGTTGTACTATTTAATTTTATTGGCAACAAACTTAAGTTTATAATCACCAGTTCGTAAAATGTATTATTAGTTATCCTGAAAAACAAAGAGCCCCATAAAATAAACAGTCCCTTATAAATCTGTGCGGCCGTGGCGCAGTGGTAGAACGCTTGCTATATAATCAGAAGATCCAGGTTCGAAACAAGCTCTGGACATATTTTTGCGCCACGGTACGGAAGGAGGCGTGAACTTCCTGATTAAATGCACTTCCGCGGTGCTCTGTGACAAGACCGTTAGGTCCTCTTGGGGCACCTAAATAACAAAAAAAAAATCGGGCCATCCTACTTTGACCTGAATTAAAAACATAAAATTTTATGTTTATAATAAAATTTGTTAAGAAAATTTGCTTAAAAACTTTCAAATTATTATTTGTTTTTTATGAGGTTAGAAAATAGTAAAAACATACTTCCTGAAATCAATCTAGTCTCTTTTCTTATGCCAAGTCAAAGTCATTTGTTATGTTGGTCAAGATATGAGTAAAATAATAATCATCCAGAGTACAAAAATATTTAAAAAGATATATAAAAGAAGATTGTTGAGCTGTATAACAGATCTGAACAGCATCTTTAAAGAACTGCTTGTTGAATTTGGGTTATTAGAAAATTATAGCTTGCGATTTATAATGTGTCTCAATCCTTAAATTTGAAGAACTTAGATATAATCCGTCTCAATCCTTAAATTTGAAGAACTTAGATATTTCATTTAAAAATAGTACTGTAGAGTATTTGTACTAAAAGAGTATATTGAGCTTTTTGTTTTAAAACTAAAGACGTTTTTTAGATGTTTAAAATAAGTCTTGTGCTTCTGGGCAATATCTAAAATAAATTTTTCACAAATATAGAAAATAATAACTTTCCCATAACATGATAAATTAAGTTTATTTCACATCCGAATCTGAACAGTTATAAAACTTTAACTTGTTTTTTTTTTTTTGTTTTTTTTTTTGCTACAAAAATTAAATAAAATTAAAGTTAAAGATCTTTTTAAAACTCAAAATGTTTTCTAAAAAATATTTATTTTAAGTTGTCTAAAATTTATATATATATATATATATATATATATATATATATATATATATATATATATATATATATATATATATATATATATATATATATATATATATATATATATATATATATATAATATATATATATATATATATATATATATATATATATATATATATATATATATATATATATATATATATATATATATATATATATTATCAATAAAAAAATTTACAAATATCGTAGCTATATTGTTTCTTTTATAATGGTGCATGTAGTTCACTCGGATTTACTTGACTGCGTTAGCTTTGATTGACATTTAATACTTTAAAATTTTTAAAAACGTTCACAATCTTTTTTTTTTAATTTTTTACTTTTTTTTAATGTAAAAAAATTAGACAATCGCTTACGCTTTGTTTTTTCTATCTTGATGGATTCATTATTATCTGCAGAGTTTAATAAAGATGGCTGAAGTAAATGTTTTTCTGTTGACAGCTGAGGATAAATGATTGCGGTGGATAACATGTGTGAAAAATTTTTGTTCTTTTTTACTTTCGAATTTATGCTTTTGGAATCCAGTAAAAGCGTATTAAAGACACAAATGACATTATAATTAATTTTCGCTGATGATTCAAAATAATGTATTTTTCCTCCCCACTCTTTTATTGCTATCAAAGTTTCATCTTGTGACAACCTTCCCTTTCCGCCTAGTATTGCATCAACTTTATTTCCAACTATAACGACAGGAGTAAATGGTTGCAGAGTTGTTACTTCTTCGTACAACTTTTTTGCTTCTTTTAATGAAGCTGCATTGTCAAAAGCAAAAACAATTATGAATCCATCACCATGTTGTATTGCATGCTTGCGCATTGCAGGAAACTCATAACTTCCTGATGTATCTAAAATTGTAAAACTTATAGTATGCTTGCCAACTTTAATACTGTGTTGATAGTTATCTTCAATCGTAGGTATATGGTTAAAATTGTATTTATCAAATAAAAATCGATGAAGCAAACTAGTTTTTCCTACGCCTCCTTTACCTAACATTACTATTTTCATTTTGAAAACTTTTCGCTCAGAAACAGAAACAACTTTTAAATAGAAATTTAATTAATGACGAATAAAATCCAAATAATATTTAAAAAAATGTTTTATCAGTAATTGATACGACAAAAGATTTCACTTTGTCTTCATTGTTTTAAAAACAATTCGTCAATTAATTCTAAAATTACCGCTACAAAACGGATTAAGTTTATTATTTTTTTCTTGGTGAATAAAATAATATCATTTTTGACATAATTATTAAAAATGAATATAATGAAACCAACTAATAGTTTGTAGATTTTATTCTATTGTCATAAAGTACTTAAAATAACATAAAAGCTTGTAAAAAACTTTACCATTCCCATTGTAGTTAATTACATTGTAACAACAAGTATAGACGTTTATGTTGTATTAACAAATGCATAGTTAGTGTATAATCAATTGCTGTATGTATATAATTTTAATTCTTAAATAAAACTGAAAACCTGTAGAAATCTAATTAGCGACTGACCCAGAAAGGGTAGGGGGGGGGGAAAAGAATTATGCTTCTAACCCTCTCCATCCCTCCCCCCCCCCCCCACCAGAATTTGAAAGTCCTAAAATATTTTTGAAATGAAGGATTTCTTGTTTTATTTTAGGAGACGCAAACATGATACAAAATAAAAAAATGTTTCAACATCCCCCCTCCCCACCAAAAATTCCTGGTGGTAGCAGGGTGAAAAAGAGGCGTTTTTTGAAACTTTTTGAAAATTTTAAAAACTATATTTTTGACATCTTTAGGGTGTTATTTTTTGTGGAAATTTGGTTTGATTTAAAAAAAACTTATGCATTCAAACAAAATTTACCCTAGATAAAGGTATTAAAGTTTTTAGGCTATAGCAACCGTCTTAACAACGCTTTTTTTCAAATATCTCTGGATTAAAACCTGATCAAGACATCTAGTTTTCACATAAAATTCTTCTTTTTATTCTTTTAAATATCTCTATTTATTCAGTTTATAAGCTTTACACTGAAGCCCCAAAAACTGGGGAAACGTTAAATCCAATCTTTCAAACTGCAATCTAAATTTTACTGACCGATGCAATCTCCAACAGAAATATAATGTACATATATATATATATATATATATATATATATATATATATATATATATATATATATATATATATATATATATATATATATATATATATATATATATATATATATATACATATATATATATATATATATATATATATATATATATATATATATATATATATATATATATATATATATATATATATATATATATATATATATATATATATATATGTATATATATATCTATATATATATATATATATATATATATATATATATATATATATATATATATATATATATATATATATATATATATATATATATATATATATATATACATATATATATATATATATATATATATATATATATATATATATATATATATATATATATATATATATATATATATATATATATATTTTAAAGCTATTATTACTTGGAACGGGTTCTGAAAAAAGATATTAAAAATTACAATCAAGAAAAAGAAAAGGATTTATCACAAGAGCTTTAAATGACAATACATCAACAACATGTTGTTCATGTATTGTTTACTGTTAACAGTAAACAATGAGTCAAAATAAATCTGATTTAAAATCAGCGTCTGGAAAAAAATTAAATGTTTCATTTTCTGATAATGATACTCCAATTGCCACCCCTGGATGCAATTTTTTTATAGGCAGTGATCTTTTCATGTCTCTTATTAATATAGTTGGACGATGCCCTGTTTGTATTACAGCAATAGACATTGAACATGGGTCTTGCCCAGTTTTTTAATATTTCATGCACCGAATGTAATTGGAAATTAACATTTTGTTCTTTAAAAGAGTGCAGTAAATTAAAGTCTACTTCAAGAAAAAAAAGTTTTGAAATTAATATACAAACAATTGCTGCATTTAGAGAGATCGGTCAAGGTTTTAGTGCAATAAAAACATTTTGTTCTTGCATAAATATGCCATCGCCAATGGCCAAACAACATATAATGAAACTAATAGTGAGTTGCATAATGCCTACGTACAAACAGCACAATAGTCAATGAAAGAAGCTTCCAAGCAAATACATTTTAATAAAACTGTAGATGATTCTGTTGTTATTGATGCTAAAGTTAGTGGTGACGGTGCTTGGCGAAAAAGAGGATACTCTCCCTTGAATGGTGTAGTTACACTAATTTTGGGGGGGAAATGCATCGATACTGAAGTGTTATCTAAAAAATGTAAACAATGTGAAATGTGGGAACTAAAAAAAGTGAATGTAGATGCGTATAATAACTGGAAAGAAACTCATGTATGTTCAATAAATCACATTGGCAGTGCTGGAGCTATGGAAGTTGTAGGAATGAAAAGAATGTTTGCACATTCTGTACGTCTTCATTGTCTAAGATACACATTTTTTATTGGGGATGGTGATACAAAATCCTTTGAAGAAATATGTAATCAGATCCATATCTAGGTCATAACATTACTAAAGGAGAGTGTATAGGACATGTCCAAAAACGTGTTGGAACACGACTGTGTAAACTTAAAGCCGATTACAAGGGAAAAAAGTTGACAGATGGTTGAAGCAATGGGGGAGGGAAAGGTTGGCTAACTAATAAAGTGATGAAAACTCTTCAAAACCATGTTGGAATGGCCATACGACAAAATAGTAACAACATGTATGGGATAAAAAAGGCTGTTGCTGCGGTTTTACACCACGCAGCCAAATTAAGAAAAACCGACATCAGTTCTGTCCACATAGCTCTGATTCTTGATGCAGATACCAAAGTGACAAAATCACAGGAGCAAAAACATAAAGAAAAAGTTAATACTTATAAAACTGTTTCTGATGTTATTGCTCCAATATTTTCTCACAGAGGTCTTGGTAGCGATGAACTTCTGACAAAATGTTTACAGTGAGACCCAGAATGTCAATGAGTCTTTGAACATTTTGATATCGACACGGTGCCCAAAAAGGGTATACATTGAAAATGATGTTTTTAAAACTGCAGTTGCATCTGCTGTTATTGCATACAATGATGGTGCCTAAGGACTTCTTGCCTAGTTTATTAAAAACTGCTTCCAGTTTTTAATAAACTGGGCATAGACATTGGGCATTTCACTAAAGAAGGTTTTAGATTAACTGATATTTGTCGTGTCAAACAATCTGAGAAAAAGTCAACCAGCTTAGTAAAAAAAAAAAGAAAGAAATTTCTTTTAATTAGAAAAGGTCATAATGATATAAATAAACTTGATGAAGGGAAGACATATGCTAGTGGAGCATTTTAATTTCGTTTTTGAGTTTCATTGTTTCATTTAATTTTATTTATTTTTTCTTTTAGGTTTTTCTTACCTTTAATTTTTCTTAATTTTTGTGGTCTTTTAACAAAGATAACTTTTGATTGGATAAAGCTACTAAGCTGAATTTTTTTTGGTGTTACATTGTTCTATTTAGAGTGTTCTGAGCGTACCACTTTTTTTTTTAAAAACATAGCTATTTTTTTTAAAAACATAGCTAGCAGTGTTATTTTTACATAAACATATTTTACTTTTTTTAAATTTGAAGTTTGACAGTCAACCTGGCGCGTTTTAATTTTTTTTTGTGTTTCGCTCAAAACATTTACATTATATATATATATATATATATATATATATATATATATATATATATATATATATATATATAATATATATATATATATATATATATATATATATATATATATATATATATATATATATATATATATATATATATATATATATATATATATATATATAATAGATTAATTAATAGATTCAATTAAAAGATTACAATGATACGGCGACTAAATTTTTTTTTTTTTTTTTATATATTTGTTCTTTATTACAATATTTAATACAATATTTACAAATATATAATAAGAAAAATTTACATGCAAAAAAATCGTTACAAAAAAATAAAGAATTAAGATAAAGAACGCGGATACTCAAAGAAGACCATACAGGTCTTGTCACCGAGAACCGCTGTTGAAGAACTTTGAACTTAGTTTAGATTTTAGGAAAAACAAAAATGAATAAACGCAAGTTTTTAACTTTTTTAAGTTATGGTCTTTATGGCTGGAATTAAAATAATAATTCTTCTGAACCGGATGATTCAAGCGAAAACATTAATATCATAGTATTCTTAATAAATAAATACGTCTCGCATCTGACTCGATCACTGATTCTTGTTACTCAAATCTATCAGTTACACTGATCTTAATTGTTAATTAATTAACAAATAAACGAAAATAATAAGAATATGATTGCACTAGGTACATCCAAATGCACTTCAAGATTGTCCAAAAGATTGTGTAGAAGAATTTAGATAGCCAAATGATGGTGTCATTGTGTGAGAAGCCAAAATTATCAAATATTGGTGCATTTACGTTAACGCTTTCGCCGACAAAAATGCTAAACCACTGTCAAAGGATGATTAACTTCCAAAAGTATCATACATACAATGTTTGCAGATACATCCAGTCATATACATCAAATTTTTTTTTGTATTTTTTTTTTTTTGTATTTTTTTTTTTTTTTGTTTTTTTTTTTTAATAATAATAATAATATATATATATATTTTTTTTTTCATTACAAAATTAAATTCAATATTAAAAGTATATACCGTTCGTAATACAAATTATTTACAAAATTACGAAATAAAATAAAAATTAAAGTAAACAAGTAAATAATAAATGCCAAATAATGTCAGTGGAACTTTTAACAAAATTCAAATAATGATGTTTAACTATAGTTTCTGACATAAACTTTAAATCAATATTGTATAAAGTAAAATATAAATGAGTGTTGACAAAACTGGGTAAAATTAAAAGTATATAAATATATTTTCAATTGAGAATATTACTTTTTTTAGTTTTCTTTTGAACATATAATAATTCCATTCCATAAAAAAGTTCCACGAAAAGAAAT